CCCCACCTGGTCCACCGCATCCCCCACCTGGTCCACCGCATCCCCCACCTGGTCCACTGCATGCCCCACCAGGCCCACCGCATGCCCCACCAGCGCAGCAGCATTACCGGCAAGCTTCTCCCTGTGCTATCACCATAATGTATCTTGCTTCCAGAATGTCCAGGAAAGCTGAAAACTTTCACATAAAGTGATAAAGAAAAATTCTAAATATATTTCACTGAGATTTGGCAAAACAATGCAATACACACAAAACGAAAATTTTCTCCTTGTCTTTCACTCCCCTGTGCGCATGTGCGCGCATACACACAGTCACACACACACACATCACACACCAAAAACAACTCAACATTTTCACTACTTTTACTCTTTCTCCTACTGCTCAGTTTTTAACGTGCAGCTTAACTCTAAAGATAATTCTGAACATGATTGTCACAAAAATATTGTAGAACAGAGATGAAATGCATAACAGTACACACAGATTGTCAAGGGCTACACTGGTCACATCACATTTCTTGAGAAACAGAGCCTTTTCTGCTCCTGTAAACAACTTCTTCTCACATGTATAAAGTGTGGTTAGTGCTGACATAAGTTACTGCTATACTCACAGCTTGCACCTCCGCACACCCCTCCCATCCTACTCAAGTAAAAGTCAAGACAGCTCATCGCTGGAAGCATTCAGTAACACTTCCAGCGATGAGGAATAGTAAGTGATGTGCTCAAAGCACCAGAGATCAAGGGTCTTCTTGTTGAAAGTCAGGATTCTAACTCATTCTTCATCACATGAATATACTGCTTTTACAATTTCTTCAGGAAAAAATTCTTCTGGAGATAAATATTCCCTTCCCAAATACTGGATCTTCATGAAGATCACTCCTTTATACATATGCTGATACATTGCTGCTTCTCTCCATTTCCTTCAGCAGGCACAAAAATCACCTCTCCTTTGGTGGTCTGTCGTATCGGTCTCTCACGCTTCTGGTTAGTTGCTTGATAAATATTTTGTAAATTTTTCCACAGTATGTATGCACTGTCTTTTGTAGTTCCAGTTCTAAAGGCTTTAACAAGGAATACACATTGTCATCTTCAAAAGAACACTAGAAAAAGAAAATAAAAAGCAAAAATACATTAAAAGTTTCATTATTCCCCCAACAAATTCTTCAATTTAATTTAATTTAAATTCTTCAATTTAATATTAACCTCCACCTAATATCTCACAAAAAGTATATGTTCAGTACATATTTTCAATAAACCACATAGAACTATTAGAGAAAGGAGATAAAGATGGTATTTCTTTTTTTTATGTGTTTGGTTGTTACAGGGTCTCACTACGCAGCTTGGCCTGGTGGTGATCCTCCTGCTTTCAGCCTCCCCAGCACTGGGGTTACAGGCATGTGACACTATGCCCAGATCTGTGGTGACTCTGGCTGGCTCAGCACGCCCTGGGAGCAGGGCTGGCGCAGCATGTGATGCCGGGGATTGAACCTTTGTCCCTGCGCTTGCCTAAGCAGGCGCTTTGGTCCACTGAGCTATCTCACCTGCCCAAGGTGGTAATTCTTGAGGGGTATCAGGGAAAGCGATTCAGAGAAGGGTAACCAAAGTAGGGATTCTAAGCCAAGGAAAAACATGCTCAAGGGCAGAGAAGACCCAGAGACACAGCTGTAAAATGATCAAACACTCTGAAGGTATCTGGGAGAAACTATGAAAGCGAGGCTTCTTTTTAAAAAAGAATAGGGCTCTAGCCAGGCATGGTGGGACAGGCACGTAGGCCCAACTACCCAGGGCCTGAGGCAAGATGATTCAGAGTGGTAGGCACCCTGCACAGCTGAGTGCCCAAAAGACCTCAGAACTTTCTCATGCATCAAATCTCCATCCCATTTTCCAGAAATGTTTTTGGAAATAGTGGTGAGGGGACTGGGGAGATAGTTCCGTGGTCTAAGCACTTACCTGGCAAGCACAAAGACCCAGGTTCTATCCCCAGCATTACATGCTGTGCTGGCCTCAGAATCCCGGCAAATAAATAAATAAATAAAATAAAATAGATTTTTAAAAATTAAAAACAAACAGAAAACAGGAGGATCAATCCAAGTTTGAGCTGCACAGTCGGACCCTGTACCAAATGCAGAAAGACAGGGGGAGGGGGGCGGAGGGAGAGAGAGAGCGAGGGCTACGTCAGAAAGGAATGAGACAGGAGGCATGGAGGGGAAGGACACAATACAACAGTATAGCTCCACATTTCCAAGGAGCCAGAGATGGCTCCCACAGATAAAGGTACTTGAGATCTGCTATTTGAATCCTCAGAGGGAGTCATGAAAAGGCAAAAAAAAAAAAAAAAAGACCTAAACTGTAAGCCAGAAAATACATCAGCTGAATCATGACTGGTCCATTAATTCCAGAAAAATCTGGTACCAGGTCTCACTATGCAGCTCAGACTGGCAGTGATCTTTCTGTTTTCAGCCTCCCCAGCACCCCCAGCACTGGGATTACAGGCATGAGTACCACACCTGGACTTAGCTGCCAGCTCATCATGCCCCAGGGGCGGGGCCAACATGGCACTCGGGCCCGGGGATCAAACCCTGGTCCCTGTGCTTGCCAAAGCAGGCGTTTAGTCCACTGAGCTATCTCACTGGCCCCCAGAATATAGTTTTGACAATCTTCTTCATTTTTTTTTTACTGTAAAATATATGTAGCAGTAGTTAAATGGAAAAATTTGTGATCTTAGTATTTTATATCAGTTTTATTTTTGATTTAGTATTTTCAACTAGGCATATTTTCAGCTAAAAAGATGGATAGGTGTTGAAAATAGAACCATTTACATAAAAGACTGAAGTGAGTTAAAAAAGGAAAATCAAAAAGGAAATTCAGAACCTGAACCCTACGAAGTGGAAGCACTCTGCGATCATCGCTGAGGTTCCCGAGCGCACTGAGGGAGACGAAAATACAATCCACCCTATGCACAGCCTACAGGAAGCCACCATCTACCGAGACACGAGCCTGTACTTTTAACACATGCTCACTGCTGTGGAGACGCAGAGATCCTCAATGTTTGTACCTTTCAAGCAGGAAGACTGTGAGCATAACTACTGGAGACCATTAGTCTTTGACAGATTTCAAAAATCAATCACAAGCATTGAACAGAAACATCTAAAATGGTTTTGAAGACAGAAATAATGAAGAGAGGAAAGCGTAGCCGGAACAATGCAGTGGAAATAACAACCACACACAGCAGCACCAATCTGCGGGCTGCCACTGGACGAGCGCTACGCGGCCTACTGGGTTCGGCACACGCCATCATACTCATTTCTCCGCGGCAATCACAGCCAGGAGTGAGCGAGCACTTCCCCACCGCACAGACTTGGCGTCGAGGCCAGGATTCTGCCCCAGCAGCCCCGCGCCGTGCGTGCCGAGCCGGCTCTGCACTGCCGTGAAAGCTCTACGAGCTCCGCCAGCCTGTCGAGGTGCCTCTCGCCACACAGCGGTGCTTCCGCCAATAAAGAAACCACACCTTGCTTTTAATTTTTAAGCGGTCTGAAGGATGAAGCTGACCAAGCAGGGAGGACTGAAAAAAAAGCACCGTGCTACATACAGACACGGCCAGGTTGGTGGGTGCCAGGCAGCGTACTTCACCAAGCACCGTCAAGTGACGCTCCAACGTGTGTTAGAAACGCACTTGAGAAACTGGTTGAGAGGAATGTGACAACTGGAAGACTACATTTTGGTTGGGTTCTTGTTTTTACTATCTAATATTAACAATAAAATACAGACAGGTAAATACATTTAAGAGTTAGGGGAAGGGCCAGGGAGATAGCACAGGGACTAGGGTTCGATCCCCTGCACCACATGCCGTGATGACCCCACTGCCGGGCGCACTGAGCCGGCCACTGAGACCGGGTGTGGTAATCCACACCTATAATCCCAGCACTGGGAAGGCTGAGACAGGATAACCACTAGGAGTCCAAGCTGCATACCCTGTACCAAATACATAAAAGAAAGAAAGAATTAGGGGAAGATTCCAGATTCTCAGGACCATGCAATACTTCAGGCCCAGTTCATTTTCATTTGATTTAAATCCTGGTGTTCGTGGTTAACTATTTTTCCTTCACTGAGAAAAAAGTCTTTTGATGAGTATTTCTGAACAAATAATTTTCTCATGAATTAGAATTCAACTCACTACATGTCACAGCAGCCTGACTCCAAGAAAAAGACAAACTTCCTTGTCCACCTACAGAAACACAACCCAAAGGCTGCATTTGCCCTCCCTCTGTCCTCCTTGCCTCAGGCTTCCAGGGCAGTGAGCTGCATCTAGGTCTCGGGCGCCTGTCATCGCCGCAGGCCCCCAGCTGTGCTGTTGCTCCTCTGGGCCTGGGCGGCCCCTGAGAAGCCTTTCCCAACACGGTCCTTCCTTTCCTAGCACATTACCCAGAACGTTTTAGGAAAGCTATGCTTTATGTATTCAAATGTCAGCTGAAAGGCAGGAAACACACCGTAGCTATGATGATCACAACAGGGCCTTCCGAAGGACAGAATTCCCCGGTGGCACACATGTGGAGGCCCAGCCCCTCAGAAGGCCGGGGCAGGACAGCAGCCAGAGCCACTCAGGGAAACCCTATCTCAAAATAAAATTTTTAAAAAGGTCTGGAGATGTGCCTCAGTGGTAGAGCACTTGCTAGCACACATGGGGTCCTGGGTTCTCACCCCAGTTTCACCAAAATAAATAAAAACCAGACCATGCAGGACAAGAGTGAAAGAATGACAGCTGGATCCAACAAACCCTAAATGTCACCTATCTAAGGGGGTTCTGTGTAGGGAAAGCACTCAGGATCATTTGCAGAGACAGTTACGCAAATACAAGCAGGTGTACAGTGAATCAAGTTAATGCAGAAACACCAAGGAAACACAATAATTCAGAATGAAATACACGAGGCAGAAAATACCTTACAGAGCCATAAAATGCTTTGCTCCCATTTTGAATTTCCAACTTTTAAGCTCAGTATTTTTATTTACCTAACAACTAATATTTAACAAATATGCATGGACTGTAAAAACTGATTTGTTGGCAGACACAGCTATGTGCTTAATTTTAAAGTCGATGCACGTCCTTTATAATTCATATTGTTCACTGGGCCCAGGCTATCACTAAGCTTCTGTCTGAAACTCGCACAAATGCTCTTGTCTGAACACAATTCTTTAAAAAATTACACTTCTCACTGAATTACAGATTAAGGGAAGATAAAAACACAAACCAAGAGCACCATAAAAGGCTGATTAAATTCATTAAGTTGAAAAATGGATGTCTATAAGCTATAGTTAACATAGACCCAAAACAAACACAAAAACAATCATTAGTTTGAAATTATTTTAAAAATGAATCTATTTTTTAAAAGTCAAGTGTAATTAATCAACTTAAAACTATTACTCAGATTTTGAAAGGTATATATTTATATGCTATAGGAAAAAACATAAAGCCAGAGATTTAGTTCTGTAATAAGATTCTTTTTAAGTGCTCAAAAGAAACAAAGGCATCGCATTTTTATAGGATTACATTTCTTTTCTATCTTACAAAGTCTCAGAACCCCAAAAGTACTTTTCTTCATTTTTATCACCTTCTGACAACCCATAATAAAGCATTATTAAAATACGATATTAATTTCTGAAGGCACACAAGCCTGCTACATTAAAATTAAAATCAACACTAAATTTTATAATTCTTCAGTATTTGTAGTCATATCACGATAAGCTGATTATTTAGTAACTTTATCTATCAAGTTTATGGGACAAGAAACTTAGCAAATAACCCACAAAAACAAGCCTATAGAGCTGTTACCAATTTGTCTTCTGCCAAGCAGGACAGCATGAGTTCCACAAGAGAGCCCCACACCCCACCTCCTGACAGCTGGGCCCACAGCACCTCCGCACCTCACCCTCATGCCGGCCGTGCATACCCTGGCCTTCACCCACCACTCCAGTCAGACTCAACAAGGTCAGCTCCCTGAGCTCACCAGGGACCTTCCGCAGCCTGGACAGTGCTCTTGGGCAGCTAGCTGTCAGCCTAGGTGGCCAACACACTGGGCAGGCTCTTACTCTTCAGGGCCCATTCAAACATGTTCTACTCTATAACAGAACTGCTACACTCTCGGCTCTCGGCAAGTCTCTGGCACGACAGATGAGGACCAGGTGCTCTGACTCTTACCTATCAGTAAGGCTCTGCTAGACCGAGGTTCGCAGTCACCAGCAAATAGTGAGCACTTGGCAAGCAGGGGTCATCAGCTCTTCCTCAGACCCCTCCGCTCTGAGGCCAAACCCACATGATATTTATTTCTATTTTGCTTCCAAGTGCACTGAGATTACGCGGAGTCTAGCAAAACAGAAAGCACATGTACATGAGGGAAATGGTCACAGGTCCTGCTACCTAGGCTGGCTGAGGAGTGAAGCAGCTTGTTGTTAGAAGATAAACCCAACACTGTCTTGGCCCTAAGGTACCCAGAGTTCATGTAGGTGCCTCAAGTGTGGGACTGTAACCATCTCTGCAATCTACCTTAATTACAAGGCTGTAAGAACAAGAAGAAAAGACAGCAGGGATCTGGGGTGAGACAGTGTACTCGGCAGAGACGGTATACACTGGCCCCAAAACCACTATAAAGCAAACATCCGAAAGAGAAAGCGTTATTTACACAGCAATGTAAATGCTACAGAAAGTATAAATGGAAGGCATATTTAAAATCTGTAAGAAGAAATGCTGAGGCATGCCTGAGGATGAATGGAAAGACCTCGTTCCTGATTAGGATGTTTCAACACTACTGTCTCAGTCTGCTTTCTGTTCCTTTAATAAAATATCGTGGCAGATACCGTATAAAGGTCTTCACTTAGCACAGTTCTGGAAATCCAAAAGCACGGCCCCAGCACCTGCTAGGCTGGCGCGCAGGGCCAAGCACCCAGCAGCGGCCCGGGGAGGAGCCAGGCTCGTGCCCAAGAATGCCCTCTCTGGCACCCCCCCCCCCGTGAAGGTGGTGCCCCCACGACTACGGCTCCCTGATGGCGCCACCCTCTCAATGCCATCACTCAGGCAGCTAAATGGCAGCATCTGCCCGGACCTGCGCCGCACCGGTCTCCTGTGCTGGGAAGACGGGGAGGCCGTCCCCACCATGGACCGGGCACCGAGGGCTTCTCTGGGCGCCATTAGGAGGCCTGCTCTCCCTTCTCTCTGCTTCCTGGCGGGCAGGGGCTGAGCAACCTTTCCTCTGCCGGGCCCCTCTGCCCTCTTCCTCCTGCCTTGAGGCCACCCAGCCAGACTCACAATAAAGCTCGTTTCCTTTAAACTGAGTGGGGTATTTTGTGCCAGCACCAAGAAGAGGACCAAGATAAGGGGCCTGGCAGGCACAAACGACATGCAGCCAGAGCACCAACAGAGTGCCGGAGCACTTCAACTGCCATGTGACACTGGCACAGCCCAACACCACCATCAGTGGTGGGAAAGTGGTCATGCGACAGCCAGGGAACACAAAAAGGCTGGGGATGAAGAGGGGAAGCCCTCTCAGACATGAACACATAAGGCAGCCAGGCATGGTGGCACTCGCCAGTAATCTCAGCACTGGGGGGCTGAGGCAGGAGGATCGCCACAATTTCAAGCCAGCCTGGGATACACCTGAACTACATGGCGAGACCTTGTCTCAAATAAATAAATATTTGAAAAATTAAGAAATAAAACACAGCGTAGTCACCATAGTTTAAAAAGAATAGTATCAGTGAACAAATGGACAGACCAATGGAATAAAATAGGAAATCCAGAAATTACAAGTGGAATCTTAGTAGACAATAAAGATACATGGTTCTTGTGGGGCATGGTGATGCACACCTGTAATCCTAGCAACTCGGAGGCTCAGGCAGGGGGGTGGTATGCTCAAGGCTTCTCTAGGCTATACAACAAGCTCAATACATTAATGGCAAGGTGAAGTACAGTAACAAGACTCTGTCTAAAAATAAACAACAAACATTCTCAAAAATATAAAAGTCAACATCATAATAAGATAAATACAAATTAAAGACAATTCATACAAATCTCTCATTCCAACAGAATGACAGAAACTCAAAAGCTGGATAACGCAGTCTCTGTTAACAAGGACAGACAGCAACAAGGCTGCATCATAAATTGCTGGCACGAATGTAGACAAACCCGATACTGGCAGATGGGCAGCATCACTGATACAATAACCTGACTCCAAGGGATTCCACCTGGAGAGTCACCTGCCCAGAGCACAAAGGCGCACGGGCAAAGCTTTGTGATGCTCCATTTTTCACAATTCAAAGTACTGGAAACTATCAAGTATCCTCCCACAGAGGGCGACACTAATATTTTCAGAATATATTAAGTCAAAAAAAAAAAAAAAAAAAAGAGAGAACAACTAATTACACGCAGTGTGTTACCCTGTGTGTAAGAAAAGGAACTTACTAAACAAGCACATACTCAGACATCCATCCTCCAAAAGACGAGCACAGGAAGGACAAAGCAGAAAGCAGTCCCCCTGGGAACCCCGAAGGAGGGTACACTAGGACGGACAGGAAGGAGGGCTACAGCTAAGTAAGCGCTTATAGGTGTCCATGTTTCTTTTCTTGACTCAGCATCTCACCAGGCAGTTTAAGATGGCCGCAAACTCTCAACAACCCTCATGCCTCAGCCTCCAAGTACATGGCTTCAACTTTTTGAAGGACAATAATATTTTACTTATTAAAAACTTTTATCAAGGACAGAAAAAAAAGTATTTCAAATAAATAAAAGTCCCACTAAAAGGAGGAAAAAAGAGATGATCCAAGATAACTTCTGAGCACTATACTGAGTACACACCTACAAAGGAGTAGGCCAAGGATGACTGGAAACAAATCCTGAACCCTTCTTAGTAGTCTGGTTTTTAGGGGTGAATGATGGAAGCATTTCTGAAATGATTTTAAATGCATTATATGTCTAAACAAATGAGGAAACTGTTGGAAAAGATTCTGTGTGGGGCTGCAGAGACAGCTCTGTGGTTTAAGTGCCTACCGAGGCAAGCACAAGGATGCAGGTCTGATGCCCAGTACCACATAACGTGCCAGCCCCGCCCTAGGTGTGCCAAGCATGCGTGGTGGCACACGCCTACAATCCCAGCGCTGGGGAGGCTGAAAACAGGAGGATCACTATGAGTCCAAGCTATGCCGCATAGCAAGACTCTGTACTAAATACATTTTTTAAAAAGGATTCTAATTGTGGAATTGAAAGGAGATAAAATCTACAGGAGGAGAAGGCAAGGGAGATCCTGGAGGAATGGGCTAGAAGTGGAGGCAGCAGTATGAACACAATTCTGGGGTCTGTATTTATATTCCCAGTTCCGTCTGTGAAGGGGGCCCTCTATGAACAAAGACATCCTCGTAGCAACAAACACGCCCAACATCCAAAGCCTGCTAAAGGAGAACACAGTTCTTTAAAAGGTAGAGTGTCAGGTAAACCTGGAATATTTCAGGGGTACAGAAAATAAGAAGGAACATCTAAAAAATGGAGATATTTTAAAATGCTACAAGAAGTGGCTGAAATATGCTTCCGGTGAACAAACCTGCAACAACTTCAGCACCAAAATAACCAGAAGGGAATGACATAAGCCACTGAGGAGGGAGGGGAAGGACCAAGGAATTCATTGTGCAAATGAAGAGATGCCCGGAAGGGCAGGCTCAACTGCTCCTCACAGTCGAGTGCTGAGGGCCAAGCGGTGCCTGTGGAAGGACAGCTAGCACTGCAAGAGCCATCATGAGTGCTGAGGGAGTAGGAGAGCTCTGAGAGCCATGGCGACTCACCTCTTAACAAGATCCTGCTCCTCACAGAAATCAGCAATCTAATCACCTTCCAGAGGTCCCCCCTCTGGGCCCATGGGTGTGTCCATGACAGAAGAGCCTTGTAAGTTTCCACAGCTCACTTACAAGAGAAAAAGTTAACTGTGCTGTGGAGAAGCTGAGCCACATTCTGGCTGAGTGACCAACATCACCAGCAAAGCACAGACAGACAAAGGGAGTGGGACTGTGACAGCCAGAGACGCGCCCGGCGTCACGTGAGGTACTCGGATCGGGGTGCAGATCCTGAGCCTGCCCGTGAAGGAACATCCACCACACAAGAGCCAAGAACAGGCACCAAGGGGCAAGGAGTCGCTCTCTGCAAGCCTGTCCCTGTGAAAGGCAAAACTCTCCCCTGCACACACACACACAGGGGTACGACCACAGGGTGAGACACTGAAGGCGCACTGCATTTCCTGAGCTTAGTGAGTGTGCGGTGGGGAAGACACAATCCTCTTATGCTTAGTAAAACACACTGAAGCTTTGAGGAGTTTAAAAAAAAAAAAAAGGACGCTATGAGGATGCTTGTTGGCAAACAGTTTGGAAAAATATAATTTACTGAAAGCCAACAACAAAGCAAATGGAGCCAAGTGTTCAATAACTGATGCACCCACGGGACAGTCTGTAGAAGTCCGTGCACTTTGGTGCATACCTCTTCCTCCCTGAGCCACAACACCTGGCGCCCACAGCTCTAGGGAGGGTTATTTTGGCTCCCAGTCTGCAGAGGCTCCGGGCCACAGGCAGAGAAGCAGCCCAGAGCAGGACAGGCAGGAAGCCACGAGCAAAGGGAGGAGCCACGAAGGAAGTCACAATCAACCCCACTCTGACTAGACCCAGCCTCCTAGCAGTAAGCCAGCCGTGCCCATCATCCTATCACCTCCCAGAGGCCCCACCTCCAAGTGAGGGCAGGAGGCTTTCGGGGGCACCTGGAGGTAAACAACGCTCTCATACAACACTTACACATTTTATCAGACAAAGTTAAGAAAAAGGCAAACCTTACATTTCTCAGGGCTTCATAAACAGCCCTAAAAGCTGGCTGCTTGTCATCATGGTAAACACCTCTGTTGCCATGAAGAATAAAGATTCCTTCTTCTTCTGCTTCCTGGCAGTTGCTTCCATATATGCAATGATCGGGTCGGTAGTTCCATTGACACGGAAAAACAAAAAGGCTTTCTACACAAAGAAGAGTCACACAATGAAGCAAACACTCCTAACTCTACAGGATTAATACCACAAAAATTTTAGTTTAAATATGCACCTCTTAGCAAGTAAGACTTAAAACAGTGAAAAATGCTTGGGATTTAGATTTCTTCCATCTAAATTAAAATTCAAGAAAAAATTTTAGTCTGTCTCAATTGTAAATAGTGGCAACCATTAGCATAAGCCAAAATCAAATAAATGCATCTTTCCCCTTTGACTAAGTATTATCTGCAATTTCTTTTTACAAATATAAAGAATAAAAGTTCAAGTGATTACCTGGATTATGAAAAAACATGATATTCAACAGATCTTGATCACCCCACGTGATGTTCAGCTTGTATTTCTTAAGCAATGGCATGAGGATGTCTCCCCACTGCAGCCGCACTGTTGTCATGTCATTCTGTTGATGAAAATACAAAAACTATCTTCAAAAGGCCAGGTTTCTGTGGCAGCATGACCGCTCCCTACTGCTCTTTCAGCAACTGTCACATGCCATAGGAGACTGCAAACTCCTCCGGGGAGGACACAAGTGACATTGACAGCCCTAACGAAGAGGGCTGCCCAGCTGACGAGGGGAAGACAGCGAAGATACGCGAGGCTGCAGGTATCAGCAATAAAAGGAAAGAGAAAGCAGAAGGAGTTCAGGTACTCCTGAAGCACATCTTAATTTTAAGATGAGAATGAGAGAAAAGTACAAGTTCTCAACAAGAAAAACAGAAATTGAGGTTTCCAAGATTACAATACAGTGAGATTACTCTGGGAGGCTACCTGGAGGTAACTTTCATCACAGCTGACTGTCGTAAGTTTTCCATCTTCTTATCGTGCTCATTCCTTACTGTGCTAGTGTACAGGTGACCCCGTCACGTGCCCAGAGCTCGGCACCCCAGCTGACCAACGGATCCACGGGGCCTGAGACACATCCCCGCACACGGGGCACTGCACACCGCACACACGCACAGCGGCGGGCTTCTACTGCTCGGCTCCTCATCGCCCACCTTCTGCAATCTAATTCTTGTAAAATACTTGGGCTTTTAATGTTTAATTTTAATGGTGTGCATTTTTTAACCTGATTTCTCAATTTCACATGTTCTGTTTGAACAATTAATTATAAAAGATCAGGGTGGGAATAATAGCAGTCATGGTAAAAACACCAACAGGAAATAATGAGTATGTACCACGGGGCAGACACTGTTCCACCCACTTTTTATATACATTTATTAACATGCTTAATAGTCAACTCTGATCCTAAAAATTGCATACTAAAACATCCTGCATTTTAAAGGTACTATCCTAATCATATATATGTGTATATATATGTAAAATCATTAAAAATCAACTATATTTGATTAGATATGTATATTAAAAGAAATATTTTAAAAACCTATCAAAAATAAAATTACAGGACCCATTGTAACCTTTTCAGGAAAAAAAAATCCCCTGGATAAAAGAACCTTTATAACCTAATGAAAAAGAACGTGTAGAAAAATACTGGACAAGACGTGATAACTGCAGTGTTATTTGATGCTGATATAACTGAGCACCCATTATAACTAGTGAAAACCTGTGAGAAACAAAGCAGCACATATAAATCATGTACCAAAACTCACAATAAATGTAATCCATTCATCCATTCCCTAAAATATCACATACACACTAAAAATGTGATTATGTGGGCCAACACAGAAACCAACAAGTACACACTTACTACATTTAACAGGCAGGTGGACGATGTAGAAAGGATCAAATATAAGTGTTAACAGATATGTTTGAAAATACATTTTTCAAGGGCCAGGGAGATGGCTCAGTAGAATAAGCCCTTGCCCGACAAGCACAAGGGCCTAAGTTCAATCCTCGGTTCCGCAAAAAAAAAAAAAAAAATTTCAGAGGTCCAAAGAGTACACAGCACAGTTTATGATGTCATTGTGCCCAAAGCATAAAACTGGGAAGAGATGTGTTAAGGAGAAACTACTTTTTACTTACTACCTCTTGTTATGGTTTTGTGTTTAGGTGTCCCTCCAAAGCCTCATGCAGTCATGGGGCGGATTCTGGAGTCTGTGACTAGTTCATGATCTCATGGGGGATTATGGGTGTGAGTGCTGCACCCACCGGAAGTGGACAGCCTGCATACAGTGTGGGGAGGGGAGAGAGGCTGGCTAGCCACCACAGCTGCTGCTCCTCCCTTTGCTCTTTGCTGTTTTCCACCACATGAACTGCTGCCGTCTGCCCTGTGCCACTCTGCCTTGGAGCCAGTCGAGTATGGACTGAAAGTTCCACTAACTGTAAGCTAAATAAACCTTTCCTTTCTTAATTTTGGGTGTCAGGTATTTTGTCCCAGCAACAAAAGAAAAGTAACTGAGACATCTCTTTAATAATGAACTGAGCTTTTATAGCATAATCGTGTTTTATAATTTTAAGACTTTTTTATTATTAACAATATATTAAGTGTAAAATTTCTTTTCATGATGACGTCTCTATACATGCATGTATCAGAAACTCCCTCCCTCTATTCTCCCTTACTTTCTCTCTCCAACTCCCTTCCCAGGGCCATAGCGTGTTTTCTAACTCCAGGTCCTTTTTTTAGTATACGCACATGAGAAAAATAGTTTTGTAATTTTTAAAACAAAAAAAATATAGCTCTGATTTCATAAAGTCTGTTACCACAACGCACACTGTTATATTAAGGTCAATCAGCTTTACTTTAGAATTACTGTGCCTTTGAAAATAGCCAGATTCATTTTCATCCTATCCCACACCCAAAGAGAAAATTGGCAGGCGCTGTCCACATTCTGTGCCAACACAGACCGAAACCAGGCTGAGCAACTCCCAGGGTCAGCTCATGCACCTGGGAAGGGCCACCTCCCCCCGCTGCTCACAGCCACGCCACGGTACCAGCCTTCCCCTCCACACATCTTTCCTCCAGATACGCAAAGACAATGTGCTCACCTCACACAAGGGATTCTCCTCCCCAGTATTTTCCGATAATTCATTTCTGGCCTCCATCTTAAACAGCAATCTAACATCCCTGCAGGTAACTAGAGACGGACACTGCTATGCCAGGCTCCACACCAATGTTCTGACCCCTGAGCTGTGCAAGACGCAAAGCCGGCCCTCCACAAGTGGACAAGACACCAAAATCATGCTACGAAGTAAGGAACACGGCTCAGAAACGCGCAGGGCAAGGATTTCTGGGAGCTTTGGTTTTTATGTAATAAAAAGGTTAAGAAAAATTCTAATAATTGTTTAAAAAGAGAGAAGAGATATCCTAGTAAGGATTCAGAACTACAAATACTGTAGCACAAAAAAGCAAATAGCTTAACCAAAGTGAGATCACTGTCTATCAAGCATTAAGAAATACAAAGAACAAAATGTAAACTTGTTACTATTTTAATTCTTTAATATGTTACTTTAATATATGAGGTTGAAATTCAACAGTCATGAATGGTAGAAAATGAGTAACAAAGAGTTTAAAAGATGACCTTCATCCTATATGAGAAGTCCTATGTGTTTTCATTTAAGAATCATGGACGACATCTATGGATCTGAATAGAACAATTTGGAAAGTGAGTACAAATAATTAAGTTGTGTGGCTAAAGAGCTTAAGTCTAAGATCTGTGCCAGAACTATGGAACTAATAGGAAAAACCAACGCGTTGTTTACTAAAGACATAGACAGGAAAACTATTAGGAAAAACAAATAATAGATGAGAAAATAGAGAATCAATAAATTGTATAAAACCACCTCAGTAATCAAAAATACAACCACTTAAAGTGAAGCAAAGCAGAATGTGTTGTCATCGTGCCAGAACAGGGCTGCCTACACAGAGAACATGGGTGTAAGCAGCTGTATCTACTGAACTAAGGCACAAGCCGTGCTCACTTTGTCCTTCAGAAAGTCATTAATGTAAAAGAAACAAAAAGTCAGAAAGTTTATTGATTATTTTACACACACCCATCTCCCCAGCTAGCTCAAACACACCACAAGCAAAACAGAAGAGAGAGGGAGAAGCAGTATACAAGGAGGTCATCTGGTCATTTAAATAAACAAAAGGTAAGTTAAGAATGGAATTAAATTACACAGCTATATTTTTAATTCCAAGAATCAAATGTTATTATCTCTACAGTTCTTTGCCACACTGCGCATAGTTCTATGAATTTCAAATGCAGTTACTGAGCAGCTGTATTATTTCTTAGTAGGTAATCTTAGAGCACCATCTTCTGGTCTAATATCACCACGCATAGTCTAACAACCAGAAAATAACACGTTACTAGGCCAGTTTTGCTTCGTAGCACAACGGCACGGTTCACGAAATGTTAAAACCCAAAATTTAAGCTGAGCAACTGAGGAAAGGTGCTCTCATTCAGCACACAGGTCATCCAGCCCCCTTCCCTTTAATGCACCTCATCTGGGAGAGAAAGGTGAACTGCAGCAAGCTTTTGAAAGGTTCAGGAATGGAAAGCAAAAAAATAATGCTTGCTGTACCAGCAAAGCACAGGAGTGGAGGGTACCATGCACGACTTCTAAGCCTGCAATACTGGCCCGTGGTCTCAAGGGCTGCCGGCGTTGCCCCTGCTCACTCCGAAGGAGGCAGGAAGCCGCTGGATGAGAAGCCTAGCACACGACAGGCCACAACTCCTACGTCTCGCCGCCAGGTGGCACGTAAAAATGGGTAACAAATAAACACACAGATGCACACAGGGACTCACACCATAATACATAAAAAACTTTAAAGGTTACGCCAGTCCTAAGAAGATATAAAGGAATAAACAGTCAAGAGAACGTCCACAGTGGGTATCTGCTCAGAAGTCACTGCTTTTAGCTAACGTTTAAAATCTGCTTAATAAGTATCACGGTCTATACTAACCATTTTAATAATAAATGTCTGTTTATTATTTCTATTTTTCAGTTAATAATGGGCACTTCGAGTCTAACCAAGTGGCGGGTGGTCACAGTGCTAGGCAGCAAAGTTACCCCTCCGGCCAGCTGGACCGCAGAGTCCACAAACTACAGCAAGACGCCACTCGCCACCTTCAACGCACGCCCATGAAATCAGAAACTGTGCAAAGGTGACTCTGAAGCCTGACTCTTCCATACAAGAGAGAACATGCAGGGATGTTCTTAAAATTTAACTTCCAGCACAGTGACCAAACAGGACATTCACATGGGCCAGGCGCTGTCTCAGCTCCCTCAAACCTCTCAACCCTCACAAAAGCCCTGCGATGCTGCGTATTCCATTTTACAGGTGACAAAGCCGAAGCCAAGAGAAAGTCAGAACGTGCTCGACAGCACTGAGTCACTAAGCTGCCAGGGCCTGAACCTCGTCACCACACTGCAGGGTCCGCGCTCCACACAGCAACGCTCCACTGCCCTCAGACTCACACGGAGGTTCAAGGGCAGCTACCAAGTCAGGACTGCTCTCTTCCAAGGACAATCTGGGGAGAGTGTTCACCAGTTAGTGCATTACTGTATTATTCTACTGTGCTTAATATTATCTAGTCTTGCTTTCTAAACTCCTCTACAAAACAGAATACTGTGAACATACAACAGAAATTTTTAATGGTTTAGTCTAGATTTTAACAAAACTAAATGCTAACCAACTCTGTATCCGAGACTTACCTTGAAATACTTCCTTCGCATTCGTGTCATGTTCATCAGCATAACTCCAGAGTTCACTCCAGTTTTTCCGTAATACGGATGTCTAGCAAAGCGATTGTACCACCCTATCCGAGGCTCCTCATGCTCCGGCGCCATGGCAGCGATTTGCGTGGAGTTAAATTTCTTCAGTAACGACCAAATATCATCAACAGGTCGTAAAAACAGTATATCCGTGTCGACATACAACAGTGAATCAACTTCTTTCAGGATTAACTGCAAGAAGAGATACTTGATGAATTAACTAGAATTCTATTAATAAAAGAAGTGGTACTCATGGAGGACATACTAAAGAGATAAACTAATTTATATTAGCTTCTAAAGTATAATAATTTGTCCTAAATCTATCATACTATCTCAATCATGACAAACTTTTAGAAAAGAAAATCTAGGAAAAAAAACACAAAAAACTGAGTACCTATCACTGGAATAAAGGCTTTATCTTCAAAGATCAGGGAGGAAATGGTATTCATAATGAAAAATAACATTAACTTCAGGAGAAATTATATCTCAGATGCTAAGTTCCTTGGATAAATACAGAAATAAATCAATATAAGTGAAGATCTTCTGAACTTCTCCTTCAGCCTGTAACACCAACACTTCTGTATCACTTCAGTATCGGCTAGCTAAGGGCTCCAAAATGGAGCCCTGCCTCCCAGCGCCAGAGTCCATGATCTTGTTTGTTTAGTTTTTGGGGGGTTTTTGGCGGTACCAGGGATTGAACTCAGGCCCTTGTGCTTGCCAGGGAAGGCTTATTCCGCTGAGCCATCTCCCTGACATGATCTTGTTTCTAAGCTTATTTGCTGCTAATAAATAACAAACACCATGCACTTGATAAGGGTGAAGACAAAAACTGCCTCAGCAGAGAAAAGAGCTCCAACAGCAACATGCTAGAGATTTTCTAGGGCAGTCTCCACTCTGCCTTTTCACAAACTTTAGAAGCCGAGTCCCACAAAGCCAAATTCACCAGCGCCGTGGTCCTAGTGGCAGGACCCAGTGCTGAGATTAAGGCAGACCTTTTCATGTAAGAACGTGGGGTATGTATTTCACCCTCATTCTGCCGCTTGCACCGAAAGTCACACCATCCTCTCCACGGGCAGCTTCTAGAGATCAGCTCCTGCCCCGAGCTCACAGAGGGAGTGCCAGCGTGGGAAAGGGTCTGGCGCTGCCTGCAGGGCGTGGGCAGGGAGCTCTTGGCCTCGCAGGGCTCAGCTAAGAGGGCATGAGGGTGTCTGGCTGGCTACCTTACTTCTAATGGAAGCATTCTGCTTCTGTGCCATCATTCGCCATCTACTCAGAGACTTGCATATGCGTAGCCAAGCAGGAAGATGGCACATGAAGCTTCACCTGGGGGAGTGAATGCCAACGAGAAGGCAGATACCAGGTTATATAACAATCACACCCACATTCTTCTGTAGTTCATTTTGGTCCTTTTCCTCTATCTAAAGGAAGAGAAGCTCAGCAAAAAGGTGTGTTGGGCTGGCCAAACAGCTCGGCGGACTAAAGCACGTGCTTAGACAGGCTCGACAGGGACCAGGGCTCGACCCCTGTCCAGGGGCACACTGTGACAGCCGACTGAGACTGGGCGTGGTGGCACTGTATTCCCAGCGCTTGGGAGGCTGAAACAGAAGGATCACTATGAGCCTGATCCATGTAGTGAGACCCTGTACTCACTGCACTAAAAATACATGTTTTAAAAAAAGGCTTATCATTAGGAAAGCTAAAGCATAACTTACTTAAACCTGGTTAAAAAAAGAGGCACAAGTAACAGTAAAGCACGAGAACAATCTGACAGGTTTCAAGCATGCATCCTACTTTACCACAACTCCCCTGAAGAATGTAAGCAGATCATATCATTAAACTATCTGACAAACTTCATATCACAACATCAACAACTAATCTTGTCAATCAGGGAGAAAAGCTGACAGAGAAATGCCTGAATTTCCTACTGTCCTTCCACCACTTCTTGCATTTCCAGAACTGTCTACTGGCACTTGTCACGCGCCTTCTCCTCCATCAGGGAGGGTGCGCCACGAGACCAGGCTCGCCCGCCACGTGACACTGACACTCCCAGCCCTCAACTCGCACACCAGCAGGAGATAAGCACGCCAGCACCAATGAAATCAATGTGACACTGCAATAACTCAATATGAACTTATTTTTAAAACTTATAAATGGGCTGGGGATATAGTTCAGTGGCATAAGCACCTGCCTGATAAGCCCAAAGTCCTGAGTTCAATCCCTGGTACCAAAAATAAATAAATAAATAAATAAATAAATAAATATTTATAAAGCCTAAACTATTAGAAGATTTTTTCCCCAATCTCAATCCCTTAATTTTGTGCTTTTTACAATGGAAAGGAAAGGGGCCGAGGAGATAGCTCAGTAGAATAAGCGCCTGCCTGCCAAGTACAAAGTCCTGATTTCAATCCCTGGTTCAAAAATTTGGGGGCTGGGCATATAGCTCAGTGGCACAGCTCCTGTCTGGCAAGCCCAAGGTCCTGAGTTTCATTCCTGATACCAAAAAAACAAAACAATCTTTAAGCACAGCATCAAAGATACTGGGTAGGCAAATTAGACTATTAAAATTATAATTTAAATCTAACTGATATTCTGGATCTGGTAAACCATATTCTTAATATGCTAGGGTTGCTTTAATCCACTTAACAGTTATTATGAGAAACAAGGCTGAGGACCAGACCTGAAGCTTCAGGCAAGAGCTCTGCTACTAAGCTACTGCCTGGCTCCCAATACTGTATTCTTTTTTGTTGTATTTTAGGGAAGGGTCTACAGGAAGTTCAGGGTCTCACTATTAGATGGGACTGGTAGTGATCTGCCTGTTTGCCTCCCAAGAGCTGGGATTACAGGTGCACACCACCTTGCCCAGTCCCAACTGCTCTCTCAGCGCATCCCAGGACAGGGCCAGCATAACAGGCCAGGGGATTGAAACCCTGGCCCCTGCGCCTGCTTGCAGGCGCTTTAACCCGCTGAGCTATTTGGCCAGCCCTCCAAATATTGTACTCTTAGCAAGATTGCTGTTATAGCTTTGACCTGCTCAATGGGAGCTTTTTTTTTTTCCTCATAGCCAAAGAAAATAGCATATGCTATGGTTTTTACCTAGCTGTCCCCCAAAGCTTCCTGTGGTCACAGGGCTTTTTGGAGGTGGCTGCATCTAGAGTGTGCGACTGATTCAAAGCGCGATTCTGGGATTAAGGGCAGGTGGCTGCTGGGTCAGTCCATTGCCTGGGTTGGCACCGCCCTGATCTGGCAGACCACACACAGGACAAGGACCAGGAAGGGGCTTGGCTCCCACTCTCTCCTTGCCTTTGCTGCCTTCTATCACCATGAACAGCTGCCCCTCCTCCAGGCCACCCTGCCTTGGAGCCAAATAAACCTTTCCTTCTTTAACTTTGGATGCCAGGTATTTGTCTCAGCACTGAGAAAAGGCAGAATACTTAAATGTACATTTGTTTATTTAAGTAAACCTATATAACACTTCAGAAACTCATGTATGTAAAAGTAAGTTTCAAATTAAAACAAAAATCCAAGAGGGGAAAAAACTTACTGGCAAGAATAATCTCTGGGAGGCACATGGCTTAAAGAGCTTTTTCCACTCCGCTGCATTCTCACTTGGAAATGTAATGGGATATAATGTATAATTAAATGTTTGTAGAAATGACCAGCTGTCAAGCTAAAAAATAAAAATCAATTAGATTCGGTTCACTTTCAATTTTTCCTGTAATATAATCTAACAGTTACAAAACAAGAGCTAAAAATAGCGATCATATACATTTTGTGTTGAACAGTTAAGAGAAAACATTTTCTTTTTTACCAGCACTTTTTCTTTTTCTTTTTTTTTTAGTATTTTCGTTTTTGCTCAAAATCTAAAAATCATAGTAATAGCTTAGAAAAACATTATCATTAAGCCACAGTGGAAGTTATCAGGGTATGAGTCAAAAAACTAGAAAGCTGAAAGAGCTTTGCAAGTATTTATTCCCCTTAATTTTACTATGTAAAATAAGTTAAAATCAGAAAAATCAAGCACAAATTTTATTACCATAGCATACAATATAATAAAAATGTTGACATTCGAAGTCAAATTAGTATAGTCTTTCCATTTAAGCATAGTTTTAATAAGTATTGCTTTTTTGAGAATAAAACACTGATAAACATATCTGATGCCAATTTTTAAACAATCATTACAAAAATCAAAATATAGCTAAAATCTATGAAAACATACAGTATTTTCAAATGCACTACAAGACACTGATTTTTTTTTTTTTTTGCAGAACCAGGGATTGAACTCAAGCCCTCGTGTTTCCCAGGGACGCACTTATTCTACTGAGCCATCTCCCCTGCCCTGAATTGCTTTAAATTCAGTCAAGTATCACATGTCGCTGTTGCTTCTACAGATTTTTCTTTTGAGACAGTACTTCACTATGTTGCCCAGGCTGGCCTTGAACCCCTGGGCTCAAGGGATCCTCCTGCCTCACTCCCCTCAACAGCCATGACTACAGGCATGTGCTACCAGGTTCTCCCTTAAACTGCTAATCCCAATGACTTGAAAAGCATTCAGTAACAGTCTACAGAGAAGGAAAAGAACTCAGTATTTATGAAGATCTCTTTTTGAGTTATGACTACATTTAAGTAATTTTTTAAAAAATTAGTACCTTCTACAGTTTAAGGCAATAACTTTTTCCCAACACTCTGCTTTAGTGTCCCTACTGTCTTAAAAGACCAGCACTTTTATTTTCCCTGATTTATAAATCACTTAAATGCCATTTTTAATACCAACTTCAAAATGAAACCTTTGGCATTGGCTATCTAATACTGTAACAGTTATTTTTTAGTACATGTCCCACCAAAAATATTTGATATTCACTCATCAAAAGCAAAAGCTAATTTTGTTAGTGTTTATTATTAAAGTCGAAGAAGATCTAAATTGAAAACCATCTTCACCTAAGATAAAACAATGTTATTTTTTATTATATTTTAAAAAGGTTTTCACAGTGTATAGCAGCCTATTACTATTCTTTCAATCTCTAGGATAAAATTAATTCCTCTATAATTCTTTAAACGTCTATATAGGGGCTGGTGAGATGGCTCAGTGGTCTAAAGCACCTACTTAGAACAAGCTTAGCAAAGCACAGGGACCGCGGTTCAATCCCCCAGCACCACATGCCAGCCAGCCCCGCCCCCTGGTGGGCTGAGCTGGACACACACATACACACACAAATAAATAAATAAAATTTTAAAAAAAAAATTAGTCAGAATAAACGTCTATATAAAGAGATCAAGATTCCAAAACATGTATCAAAAAGTATATAAACTAGAAATATTTTTAAATTGTAAATAAACCTTTCTATCTCTTAGAATCAGATTTTAGCAGACCTGACATAAATTGTATTTTTCCCTTAACATCCAAAGTGAACTTTAAAAAAATAAAAAACTTTTTAAACATAGGCCAAGTTCCAAGCAATGGCTGTGACTCATCCACATGGCTGACACCGACAAAGATTCTACAATCTGAGGTACAGGATCTCAGGATAAATCCTGAGGGGATTTCACTGACCTTCTCAGACCCAAAAGCTACAACTCTTGTTGCATAGGTCCTGCTTTACCTTGGTCTTAACCATCCAGCAGAAAAGTATAAAAACGAAGTATAAGAAGTAAAGCCATGCTGTTATGTTGAGCTGTGGGGGACTCAGGTCATCAATTTGTGACATTGCCAGTGAAGCGGAAGACCCAATACTATTGTGGGCTGCTGGACTCTTTTAGAATATTTTGCTGAGTTTACACACATATAATATTCAAATTAACGGAACTTAACAAAAAAAGGGGATACAGATGAATGTCCATTTTGTATCTGTGTAGTCAAAGTGGTTAGGCTAGATATATAGTTACATTCTCTTAGTGAGTAGAGTGATTTGTTGTAATAATGTTTGTAAATTGGATATCATGTCCGCATCTTGCACAGCAATTAACCACTAGGAAGAATGTATGCAGTGTGTTAATTATTGAAACTGTCCTACCAATTTGGTTTGAAACTGTCTCATTGCTATTTGTTTCTCAATAAAATTATGGGGGGCCGGGGAGATGGCTCAGCAGAGTAAGAGCTTCCCTGGCAAGCGCAAGGGCCTGAGTTCAATCCCCAGTTCTGCCATAAATAAATAAATAAATAAATAAAATTATGGGGGAAAAAAAAACATAGGCCAAGTAGAAAAATGCCAATCAGTCTGAATATCTGACTGAGCGGCAGAGGAAACCCAGTAGCATCCGCTTTTCCACCACCTGAGAACACAAGGTAGTGCGATTCTGGGCAAATTTTCTTTTTCTTATATTTTCTCTGTACCTAATCTCCAGGTTCCTGCATAGAAACTTTCTTGTGGTTAAGGAGTAACCGTTATAAAACTACACTGGTTAAAAAATATATCTCCACCCTCACTAATAGCTAGGTATGGTCATATGACTATTTTGAGACCAATGGCATACAGGCAGAAAGGCCACAAGTACTTGTGTAAAGTTTCCTTAAAGAGAAAAAGGAGCTGTTCTCAGGGTAGACTGAACATGCACGTAATGCAGGATCCTGAGTAGCAACCCTGGACCATGAGGTAGAAGCCTCACGTTGAAAATGGGTTCAGCTGTGCTGGCGACAGAGCTCAGGAGCAAAGCAGTTTCCTACATGCGCTAAGTCCTGGGATAAAGCAAGAAGAGGGAAGGGAGGGAAGAAACGGGAAAAGAAGGAAAGGGGAGAGACGGAGGGAGGGACGGAAGGAGGAAGGAAGGAGGATGGAAGCGCTCAGCCACAGCCAGGAAAAACCAGTCCAAGGCCAGGGAGATAGCCCAGCAGCATGGGCGCCTACCTGGCAAGCACAAGGCCGAGTTCGACCCCTGGTACCACAAAAAAAAAACAGTCCACAAAGGTGAAGCTCCACCATGTAACTCACTGTACCTACTTTTATGTGAGAAAGAAACTTCGATCTTGATTATTTCTCAATCAAAATATCCTGGAACTACAGTTAGTAAAATAAAATGTTTGCATCTGGGAAAGAACTTTTAAACTGCTTGTTACTGTTAAAAAAACAGATCTCACTCTTACATTCTAGAGCTAGACTCCAGATGGAAATGTCGCAAGGCGCACCCTACAAGGGCGGTTACAGAACACGCACTTCTCAGCCATTGCACGAGCAAAGCAATCTATGACATCACACTTGCACACTCAACTCTCCATCCTGAACTTAGTCTCTATAAATACTTACTCTCACTTTAAAGCTATCATGCAGCTGATCTTCAGCAAAAACATGGAACCGGAGAGGTTTGATGCTGAAAATAAGAGCAGACTTCAACATGGTCATGGTTTCTTCCAGTCTTTCCCCACAGGCAACCACAGCTAGGTGCATCTCCTCAACAGGCTGTCTTTTCACGCTATACCTAATAAAAAAGAGAAACATTTTTTAACAGCTTTGGCACATGTCTGCTATTTTCCCATGCTGGAAAAAGAAGTTCAAAACTTCTACTTAAGAAGCAAAGATGCATCAAATTTCAAAACATCATGCTTTCTCAAACGTGCATTTCTACACTACCAACAGCCTTTCCCAGCCGGTGCTCCTGAGGACCCCACACGCAACAAAGGACCTGCTTGCTCTCAACTCTCCCAGGGGCAGCACCAGCGGCCCGCCACACAGGAGAGGAGGGAGGCCCCACTCCCTCCCGCTGTGTACCTTGGGACAGGAGGCTGCATTTGCTCAGGAAACCTCTTGGGAAACAAGATATCACAGACTTATAAGTCTGCCATTCAGGGTTTTTTAAAAAAAGAATTTTAACATATTCTTATGTCAAATAAAACCCCATCCCTACACCTTCCACCAACAGGTCACTGGTACAAATCTGTCGTCATTCCATCATCCATAAATACCTCAATAAAATCTGGACTTCGAACATGCTGATTACAAGAAATCTCCTTCACATAGTCTTTTTTCAGTGACACACATTCAGTCCCTTCTACTAAACACTGAGCAAGACATAGACATTCACAAACAGGATCAAAACATTGAGCAGAACACTTCCATGTCTTCTGCTACGGGAGCAGTCTCCAGGCTCCACTCCAGGCACCCAGCGCTCCCTGCGCTCAGCTCCAAGCCTTCCCCTCCTTCCTGGGCACCACAGCCTAAAGAGAAACCAGGATCCACAGAGGGAACTGGTGCTTTCTATGCCAAGGAGGGGCGTGATTCCTTACCACCACCACAGTGACACGGGTTAAGGCAAAGACCGTCGAGACCCCGCAACCTCGCAGGGGCCTGCACTGGTTTCCCCTCCTGCTCACTGCCTTCCACTCCCACTTCCCAGGGTGCCAAAATGCCTTCATTAAAGAGCATGGCCTGAGAACGTCAGAGGCTCGGATTGCTTACCTGTCTACACTGAGATCCTACACCAATGTCAAACGCCAAACAAATAAATAAATAAATGGTACCACTCAGAGGTTGTTTTCCATGGAATTCTCTATATGCAAGAGATGAGGCAGGGAGATGGCTCAGTGGCATAAGCAGCTGCCTGGCAAGCACAAGGCCCTGAGTTCTAGCCCTGGTACCAAAAGTCTCTATCTGCAGAGATAAGGAGTACAATAAGCCTGAAGAAGAAAAGCAAAATATTCCTCAAAAGGACAATAAATCCTTGTAAAATCAATTCGGGACAGGGACTGCTCCCAGGCATTTTAGCATAAGTTGTGTAGTCCCACCACCAGAGCTCTTCTTACCAGCTACTAGAGGAACACGTTGCAACCATGTGAAATCCGCTGTTCTCTTCAGTGTCCCTTTTAAATAAAAGCACCACACGTGGTGCAGATCCCAACACTTAAACTGATGAAAGGAAACATACTTTAAAGGAGTCTGGGGCTACCACCCTTCTCTCTAAGCCACAAGGTCAGGAAAATCAATTGTAACTCAAAGAAATCTAAAGCAAGCTTCTATACTCAGGAGTCAATAATGAAACCCTTCTCAACAGTCATAGGGATTCAGTCATTCCCATCACTTCAGCCCCAAATGAATGGTATAATCTTGTCAAGGACTGTGAAAAGGTGCTACATTTTAATCACAACATGAACTAAAGTCCCCATGGATTGAAAGAAATGCTATTCAAAAGGACAGTTTAAGGTCAAACCTGCTTTTCTGTAAAAGTAGAAGCAATCTTTCAGCTATTTCAAAACACTACCAGAAGGCTCCAATGGTTGAGGAATAACAGGGCACTGTAATGAGCCATATGTAAGATTAAAACAATGAATCCATGAGTCTAAGATAACAGAAAGTAAAGGAGCAGAGGGAGAAAGCTCATCTTTAAAGATGAATGCTAAGCAATAAATATAGAAGGAATGAGTTACAAAAATCACTTTGCAATTGTCTTTGTAATGATCTGGATTTAAAACCATACAGAAACAAAGTACCTTCCCACGTAGGGGATGGATGCTACTACATGTGACGTGTGTGTGTGTGTGTGTGTGTGTGTGTGTGGTACTGGGATTGAACTCAGGACCTTGTGCTTGCCACGAAAGCACTTATTCCACTGAGCTATCTCTCCAGTTGAAGATGCTACTACAGTGTAGATAGGAGAATGTCACTCTAACCTAGTGATCAACAATAATGATAAGCATGACAGCAGTGGAGTCCTGATATAATGATCAAAGAACAGACCTACACAGCAAACCTACCCACATTCTGAATCTAACCATTAAGACAGGCGAAATCGCTTTTTCCCCCTGTGGTGCTGCTTAGCCTGCAGGTCTGTGCAGGGCCGCGGACGCGGGTCTATATTACACAGGATGGGTTTTGCTAAGGTTGTCAAGAATAAGGCCTACTTTAAGAGATACCAAGTGACGTTTAGAAGACGACGAGAAGACAAAACTGATTACTATGCTAGGAAATGCTTGGTAATCCAGGACAAAAATAAGTACAACACACCTAAATACAGGATGCCAGTTCGTGTAACTAACAGAGATATCATCTGCCAAACTGCTTATGTCCGTGTTGAAGGGGACATGACAGTCTGTGCAGCATATGCACATGAGCTACCAAAATACGGTGTGAAAGTTGGCCTAACAAATTATGCTGCAGCGTGTTGCACGGGCCTGCTGCTGGCCCGCAGAATAGGTTTGGCGTGGATAAGATCCATGAAGGCCAGGTGGAGGTGACTGGAGATGAACACAACGCGGACAGCACTGATGGCAGACCTGGCGCCTTCACAGGCTATCTGGCTGCAGGCCTCGCCAGAACCACAGCTGGCAATGAAGCTTCGGGAGCCCTAAAGGGTGCTGTGGACGGAGGCCTGTCTATCCCTCACAGCACCAAACGGTTCTCTGGTTATGACTCTGAAAGCAGGGAGTTCAGTGCAGAAGTACATCAGAAGCACATCAGGGCTCAGAATGTCACAGACTATATGCGCTACCTAATGGAAGAAGATGAAGATGCTTACAAGAAACAGTTCTCCCAGTACATAAAGAACAATGTGACTCCAGACATGATGGAGGAGATGTATAAGCTCATGCTGCTATACGAGAGAATCCAGTCTATGAAAAGAAGCCGAAGAGACAAGTTAAAAGGAAGAGGTGGAACCGTCCCAAAATGTCCCTTTGCCCAGAAGATCGGGTAGCTCAAAAGAAGACAAGCTTTCTCAGAGCTTAGGAGCGGGCTGCTGAGAGTTAAGCCAAATTTCTAGGAATTTTTCAGATAAAGACCAATAAACTTATTCATCAAGAAAAAAAAAAGACAGGCGAATTCAAATTAGGGCATTCTGCTGAAGAAGGAACAAAACCACATGTCACAAAAGAGCATTACCACCCTCCTACTCCTACAAGCAGAGTAAAGGGTAAGTTATACTTCTTTTTTTCTCTTTTTTCTTTTTTCTTTCTTTTTTTTTTTGGTGGTCCCAGGGATCTAACTCGGGACCTTGTACTTGCCAGGCAGGTGCTCAGGCCCTGGCCCCTAGGTATAGTTCTAGAATAAAGGAAAACCACCTAGAGCCAACATCTAAACGCAGTGCAGTGCACCCCTTGGCTGGACCCTGAAATACTGGAAGGACTCGACAGGAAAATAAAAAACTATAAATAGGATGATATAATCCTTCAGTGCTAAACAACCTGAGGCAACAATTTCATTAGTCACACTAGAAAACATCCCTGTTCTTAAGAGACACAGGCTACATACGTGTATTTAGGGGTATTTCATGACTGCAGCTGTTAATCAAATGATTTAGCACAAAAAAGTGTCCCAACATTACTAGCAGGCAAAGCCCCGCAGTACGCTTGCTGCGACCTTCACAGACTTGAACCCTGACTGAACCCTGACAACCATGAAGGGGTGAGTGGAGCACGTCCGGAGAGCAGCCCTTAAGGAATGTTCTACTAGCAAATTCTAACACGAGTACCACTAACGCACTTGGAAGCCACAGAAGGTCCTCCTCAATTCAAGTGCACCTCTGCTCTACAGGAACTGGCGAGACAGGCCTCGCTGAGACGCCCAAGCTGCTGAGACGCTCACAGCACTCCAGCATGCTGCACCACACCTGGCTCCTGCTTTATTTTTAAACAACATAAATATATTCTAGTATGCCCTTCTAGCCTTTATTGGACTCCAAACAGAAAATAATACATAACATTTAGAATAACATGTTAATGAATATGCAAAGTCAGACTACACAGAAATAAATTTCTAGTAAGAATCTCGCCAACAAAAGTAACTAACATGACTGTATCCGCCGAGCCACGCCCGTGGTGACACACGTAGGGCTTCTGCGCAGAGCTACGGACCCAGCCCTTTACTTTTCCTTTGAGATAGGGTCTTCTTAACTTACTAGACTTCCCAGAGTGGGCTCAAACCTGTGATCCTCCCACCTCAGCTGGGATTACAGGTATGCACAACCACATTCAGCTCATGGATGGAAACTTTGTAACCGGAAACAAACTGGAAAACTGTTTTGTTTTGGGGTTTTTTTTTTGGTGCTTTAAACAATTTATTTAACTGAAATGGACTTAACTTTGTTTCTGAAGTGACTTCCGTTTATTTTGATACATCTTTTCCCCATGATGATTTACAGGATCTTCAACCAATATAAATACTTTATAAATATTTGAATTTTTTGGTATACACCTGCACGATACCTCAGCAGCATCTTTCAGCAAGAAAATATTGAAGAGTAAAGGCTAGACACAATTACT